TTTTACTTTTATTATTGCCTATCAAGAACAAAATGTCATTTATTAAAACATTTATTGTTCAATTAAAATTTCTGATGGCTAAACAGCCTTTAACTTACATGTGAAACATTTTTATAATGTACGCTTGTTTCTTTTTTTTCAAGAACATATCCAGACATTTTCATTTGCCTAAGTTTCATACATTAATTTCCCCCGAGAATCATTAATCTATTAAGAAAAAAAAAATCAAACTATCTTCAAAGAAAACTTTTAAATAAAATGTGTTGGACATGATGTGGAAATTTACTGTGCTAAGGACTGTTTAGAGGTTTAAATTCCCAACTATTCCTTTTTAAAGTTTTTTTTTTTTTTAAATCAAGAGAACATTTCCCTGTTTGGTTAATGAAAACTAAACCAAATACAGGTTAGCAGAAAGCATTGTATTGATATTTATAAGTGAGGCTAATTAGAAAATGAGAAGTCTCTTGTAATAAGATAATTGGGGGTACTGCATTTAAATAGCTCTGGGAAATGAAACATGCATCCAAAAGTTCAGTTAATCCTACAATCATTTTTCTATGGCTTATAATTGTCTAAAGAATATGGTCTCTTTAGTGTTTCTGGAATATTCAGACTAGCACTGTCCAGGTTATCCTTTGAAATTTCAGTACCCATAACAAGATAAAATGTGATTAAATACAGTCAACTAAGATGCAAGTGACTGTATGCATTGTATCTATAAAGTACATATTTATATTTTTATCTTAAAAGGTTGGAACCCCCTCCGTACCCCACACACACACAAATGCAGTGTTATCAGAAGAAGGTACTAATTATGGGCATAACCATTAAATGATGATCTAGCCCCATTCTTCTCACTCCCTGTAGGCTTTTCAAATTGCCACCATCTCTGATGGTGCAGAAGAGTCCTCTATAAAACAGTAAGTAGCACACGGGCAAGGACCCTTCTCATGCCCTAACTCTATGGCACACCTGTTATGTAGAAGTGCTGACGTCTACTATCTATTCAGATATACAGAAGCACACCTGAGTTTTGAATGCTCACAAAGTAATACACAAAGCTGTATGTTACCAAACTACTTGGGTAAAAGGAATATTAATAGAAGACTCCTCTTTATATGCTGGTAAAATGTTTTTAAAAACTAGTAGAAAAACATATGGCAGGAAACAATTAAAAGCACAGATTTCCCAGTATTCAAATAATGAGCTGATAGTGAGTCAGACAGATATTTTTCATAGGTTTCCCAGTGTTTTGTTTGAAAGTCATTTTGTGCTCAGTATTCTAAATTACAGGACAATTTTAATGTACATATGTGATGCTCTGACATTCTAGATCACACATTATCTGAACAGTATTCATTGAAAGTTCTTTCTGCATTCATCACTATAACAGAAGTTCAAAATGTTTATTTTTTGGCATCATCTATTATTATGATGAAGTCTAGCCATACTCTTTGATGGTACCTTAGCATTGTACATTTATTTCCAAGCGCTTAATTTACTATATAAATGGCTGAATTAAGACCAAAAAAATTGTAATCTTTTAATACAAGTTCCAAAGTAATAAAACAGACCCATGGTTGCATTATAAAGTTTAAAAGAAAAAAAAATGCTAACCTTGGATTTTACTTACTAAATTTACCAGATTTTCACAAATTTATTAATTTCTCAGAAAACTGCTACAAATAGGAGAAAATATATCATCTATGAGGCTATCAAACATGAAAGGACAAAGAAAAGCACATTTCTGACAAACAGTATTTATTTTGTTTGTCCAGTTTAGGAATGCCATGATTACAAGTGAACTTGATTTGTATATTTTACTTACAGAAATAATCATAAATTGATGTTTTTAATTGCAGACTTTAAACTACATTAATAAATTCTACTTTCTTCCAGGGTAAATGCCTTTTCTGGAAATAAACATATCACTTGACATTTTTATTACCTTTTGTTTCTGAATGCATGCTTAAATAGATCAAATGAGCACAGAGATAACATTTAAAGTGGACCAAATTAAGATCCTAATAATATTGATTTCCCCTTGATGTAATTTAAAATGTGTAAACTGGCACTCGAATTAGAAGTGCGATATCTGACATTTAATTATTTGGCACTTTTTTAGTTATAGGTGAATTACTGCACTGTTATTTGACCTGAAGCATCTCATAATATACATGTAACAGATTTTGTATGATAAAAAACTTTACAGCAAGCTATTTGAATGTTTATTAAAAAATTCTCAAAATGACATGGAAATGTTTACTGTATAAATAAAAGCACTTAGACATTAAGAGTGTACATTATTCAATGATTTACAACATAAGAAAACCGGGCATGAATTAACCAGTACAAACCACCATACTATATTAATAATCCAGTCATGTTTATCATACTATTTAATTTTTACTGTAGGGATGAATGTTTGTTTACATTATCTTAAAACATCGAAAAAGTAAATTGTATTTCTGTATAAAAGTCCCAGTAAAATATTCTCTATGCCTAATGTCTTTATAAGATTATGTAAAGTGCAAAAGATTTGTTTCACCCTAAAGTTGGATTGGTTGGACCATTATTTTTGCTAGAGAAAGGGGTTCTGTGTCCAAGAGTTTGGAAAAAAACTGGGTCAAATAAAATGAACAGGATGTTGTGTACCTTGGGCTTATGCTCCCTGAGAATTCTCCAACTATGTCTAGCCATGGAAGCTCATTCTCACAGATGGCCTGTGACCAAAAGTCACAGGAACACCTTTGGCAAAGGATGAGTTAGAGAACTGTGTGAAGTTCTAATACAATGTGTCATTTGGCAGAAACTTACATGAAAGATACCATATGTTAAAGTTTTACCACAGCTATGAGCCTCCAAGCAAATAAAATTATAATTGACCTTAGCACAGTACAGTAACTCAACCACCTATATATAAGCTGGGTTTTAAGAGTATAGGCTGCTGAGTCATATTATCACCCTTATTCAATGATTCAATGTGAATGATACACAGTGTGTTTACATTAGCTTTTTCCTACAATACTTCTATTTAGAAGTATTTTTTATGGCTCAGTTAACATTCATTCTCTCACATTATCAAACATATGTGCAAGAAAAAAATTAACATCCAGAGGACAGAATTATATGGATTACTTATTCACATATGTATTTTTATGTGAATAAAAAAACAAATGAATTTGACAATTATATAAAATTATCAATATTAAATGACTATAACTATTTCGCTTCCGGGAGTTTTAAAAGTGAAAGTTGATTTAAAATTCTGTAAGTTTGTAAGTTTTTTTCAAGATATTCTTATTCATCCTTCATTTTTTAAGAAATAGTTTTATACAATTATATATTAATTTGGTCACCAGTCATACTAAAATTACATCAATTTGTACTGTAGTGCCCCTGTACCCATGGTTTCATTTACCTGAGGTCAACTGTGGTACGAAAATATTACATGGAAAATTCCAGAAATTCATAAATTTTAAACTGCATGCTGTTCTCAGTAGTGTGATGAAATCTTGAGCCATCCCACCCCATACCTCCTGGGGTGCGAATCATCCCTTTGTCTGGCGTACTTACACTGTATATGCAGTACAAGAAGATATATTGAGAGACCACATTCACATAACTTTTATTACAGTATATTATTATAATGTTCTATTTTATTATTACTATTAACCACTTACTGTACCTAATTTAAATAAATTAAACCTTATCATAGGTATGTGTGTATAGGAAAAAACAGTTTATATAGGGTTATGTACTATCCACGGATTCAGGCATCCACTGAAGGTCTTGGAACATATCTCCCCCACCCCCAGATAAGGGGGGACTACTGTATTCACCTTCAAGCTGGAGAAGATATTCAGTTATAGAATAAAAAAAATATGTGGTTTATTAAATCTTCATTAACAAAGACTTAAGGTGTTTGCCAAAAAGAGGGCTGGATTAAGTGTAACTACTTATACCAGGGATCTTACATGCTAATGTCCTGATGACTCCACTTTGAAGTTTCCATGGTCATACCACTAAGAAATGGTGCTGGGGTGCCTATCATGCTCCGCAAGCCACACTACACAGATGCGCTCAAAAGACTTATTAGTTTTTTAACGCCAAAACTACCAGATGTTGTCAAGAAAGTCAAATTTGTAAGTTCTGCACATTTAAACAAAGAGGTATATTACTTGATTTTTTTATCTTTGTAAACAGTTGGCATTATGTATAAACATCAACTAAGTTTAACAGAAATTTAAATGTTGACATTTCATTAAAAATATCATTTCCAGAAAATTGAGGTTTAGAAAAAGATGCCATTTTAGGCTATCAATGTTTTCACTAATGAAAAAAGAGCAGAGAGAAGAGTTGTTTATTCAGAATTTTTTTTTCATAGAAGATAACAAAACATAATGAAGAGAAATATACAACGTAAAAAATAAAAAAGGAAAAACGATGCCTCCTGTAGTCTTATTTCACTATATTTTATGATCCACCGAAGGCAATTAAGATAAAATTTTAGAAACTATAGTTTCCTTCTTCACTGTTAAAAACAAGTGAGTTTCTGTTCTCTGATTATGTGAGCAAGAACAAACCCTATTATGGATGTGGCACAAAATCCAGGGTTACCCTTCCAGCTCACCCTCAAACACCAACAATTACAAACAAAATTTAATAGTAAAATGTGTAACCTTCAGATAAGTATAAATTCATTTTATCTAGACTTTCATCATTTGGCTTCTTATATAATCTTATAAATACATTCCTCTAGGTTTATATTGTTAAAAATTAAGGTTAAGAGACATTTATATCAATTAATCATATACTAATATTTGATGACATTATGCAGATATCTGTAAAGTGATAACTTTTCTAAAAGCAATAACATTCTAAATACAAAACATTTCTTTTATTGCTTTGAACTGTGTGCTAAAATGAAAACATAGTATATTATATATATTAGATATCTAATATAAAGGAAAGAGATTTAACAGGTAGAAACATGGCAACGTCCCAAAAACTTTAATTTGAAGTAGTCCAGTTCATTTCTTCCAAGCAGAAAAATTTGCAGTATTTCTTTAGCTGTCAAATTCTTGGCATTCAAATTGACATAGTGCCCTGCAAAAACTAATATATAAACAAAATCGTCAGCTGGTAACAATAAAATGGTGTTTGTTTTGATTAATTATATTCTATAAAAGCATTTTTACAAGATGAGAAACTTTGATTTTCCAAGGCTTGTAATTCAACCAGTAAACATACTAGTAGGATAATGCTGACCCTGTAACTTCCATATAACAAAAACCCTGAAACATTGAAGCACATATGAAATATAACTTTCCTAGAGCTTCAACTAAAAAATAAAAGAAAACGAAAAGTGAATTCAGGTTAATAGCAACAATTTGTAATGAAAATGAACAGCTTTATAATCTATCATAGATGAAAATTTCCTATCTCTGTTAGAACTAAGAAAGATCACCACAAGTAAACTACTCTTAATAAAAATAATGGTACTTTTGCCCTTAAAAATGATTTGGAAGATAAACTGCCAAAACCCTGTAATAAAATGTAAAAGTATTTTTATGTTTAATATAAAGTCAAGTTGATATTTGTAACAATGTTGAATCTTATATTTGCATTCATATAAAAAATACAGAAAAAGAATATGGCCTATGAAATATGTTATTCCCAGTGCTGGTACCAAGAATCACTTAAAAATTTTTTATAATTATGAACACATGTAGCACACAATACAGACATCAAAGGTATTAAACAGGATACTCACATCATCGTATATAAAATTCACAACCCCTTCTTGCAAGTGGTCTCTTTTGCTAAAGAAATCTTTAAACAAACAAATAATATTTGTATTATAATTTAAAATCTATAGCTTCAAATACTTGGTGTCCCTAGGTACTAAAAATGAATAATTTCATAGTCAATTCAATCTTAAGTGACTTTATATCTTAGGCACTGAGGCGTGAAAAATGTCTCCAAAACTAAGCAATGACTTTTTTTTCACTATTTATATTCTAAAATTTTCAAAATCTTAGGACTCTGATTAGATTTAATACTGAAAGAAGGGGAAGTACACATAATATTATAAACTTGCTGGAGAAAACAACAGACATTACTCAAGAAAAAGAGCTATGTAATACTTCACCCATTTTTAAGTGATCAATACCTGTCAAAGCTCGAAGCTTCACACAGCAAGCAACATAATCATCAAAGAAGATTCTGCCATTCTTACTATAACGTCTAACAATAGCAGTTAACGTTTGAGGACTCAATCTGTAACCTGAAAACGGATTAATAAATTAAAATTTCTAAAATTAAACACCATAAGACCACAACAAACATTGCATTCTTGTTAATAATCATAAAATAAACTTTTCAAAATCCATTCCATAAAAATGTTAGAAACAAAATGTTCATATTGAAATTGATCCAAGTAACTATTAATTATTAATAGTTAGTAATGCAAAAATATGACTTTGACTTTGTAATAAAGTCAAAGCTAAAAAAATTATTTTTGTGATTTTTAAAAATATTTTTTTTAATTTTGAAATAACTTCTAGGGTAGTTCCTGGTTTTCATGCTTCAATATTTCAATTCTGTAATTTTATCTATTTATTTTCACTGTTCAGGTAAGTTTTTTATTTATCTTTTGTCTATTTGTGGTATAACTGACATATAACATATTAATTTCAGGTGTACAATGTAATGATTTAGTATTTATATGTACTGCAAAATGATCACCACAGCAAGTCAACATCTGTCACAATACATAGTTACAAACTTCTTTTTCTTATGATTAAGAACTTTTAAGATTTACTCTCTTAGCAACTTCAACTATGCATTACAGTATTATTAACTTCAGTCACCATGCTGTACATTATAACCCCATGATTTCTTTTATAACTGGAAATTTGTACTTTTGTCTTTCACCCATCAATTCTGTAATTTATTATTCTTTAAAGATTATCAAAACAAAGATTATCAGTGATATTTGCCACTATTCAAATCCTATATTTTACACTGAGTATTTTACTTACAAGTGTCTTTTATAAACAAAGAAAATTTGAGGATCAATATGATTACTCTGAAGGGGGAGAAATAGGAAAGTATTATTCCTTTATGTCCCATAACCCTTATTCTGTTTCTTCAGAGACTTCCAGCTTATCTACAGCCTTCAATTTCCTTGGTTCTTTGTTGTCTAGGCCTGTAGCCTCAAAAAGCTTTTGATTGTATGCTCCTATTAGTAAAAACTTTTGGATTATTCATCCCATTATAGGTTAGATTATTTACATTTTAAAATATATATATATATAAAACAAAAATTTAAAAAGAATGAAATAAAAATAATTAGAAATATAAATTAATATATTCAACTTTCTGCATCCCTATAGATGGTCTTAAGCATTTAATGAGATGTGTGCACTGCACTGGGAAGAATGCTGGCCTAAAACTACTGTCTTTATATATTACTGGATTAGATTTGGACAAAAGACATTAAGCCATTCAAAGCAGAAAGCAATGAAAATAAATGCGATAGGAGAAAATTCTATGTGTAGCACAATAAAAGGTAATCTAGGAAACTAGCTAACAGTAAATGAAAGGAAAGGTATAAATTAATAGTAAAACATGCAAACTAATATATAATTATAAGCAAATGCATTTTGAGCTTTCTATAAGAGGTTTATGATCTGGATGTTGTACTGATAAAATTCTTATGATTTCCCATAGCATTCTCAGCAAAATAATTTGAATGTTTTAAAATATATATGAAGATCTTAAATTTGAATAATCCAGAATACCTCTTTGTTATGCTCAGCTGCTTATGTGAACTCTGGCAGTTTTTATTTTCTTTATTTCTTTTTTGCAAAAGGTTATTTAATTTGCTGACTTAAATTTAATCCATGAGTTATTAAGGCTATACATTGAACTATACATGTGTATATGGCCAGGAATGTCCCTAAAAATGACCATTTATTAAATTAAAATGTCTATGAAACAAATCGCTAGTTTTGACTTTTTTAAATTGGAATTTGAAATAATTTCCATTGGGTTCAGATTTTAACTATCAAAAAGTTAATTTTCTTACAAATGCATTTTGTTTAGAAATGAGTATAAATAAAATCACAAGGGTAAACACAATAAGAAAACTACTTAAAATTTTATTAACTGTAAGCAAATTAATCACCATTGTATATTATCACTTTTTGAAAAAAAAGGTTGAGAAACTTAGCTTATCAGAGATATGATAAAAATTAAGTTACATTCTTTTAAAATATTCTAAAGTGCAGACTTCCCTTCCCGTTTTGAGGTATTTTGCTATCTACTATGTGTTCTATACTACATAAGAAAAAAAAAAAGTGTTTTTTTTACTGCTGCAAAGAAGATTATAATATGGAGACCTCTAACTGAGATAAGTCTTGGCTGTCAAATTGGAGATCTTAACAAGTTACAGTAGAGTTACAATATAAATGGTGACTACTACCAATTAGAAGAACAAATGTAAATACACTCAAAGGAGGAAATTTGGAAATTATTTTATCATCCAGAATGTATGAAAGATCTTTTGAAACAATAATGGATAAAACGTTTGTTTGTTTGTTTGTTTGCTAAAGGTCTTTATTCAGTATTTATCTAGGACCTTGATAAACTAGGCAAAATCTGGTGAAATAACATATCCCCTTATTACATAGCAAATTGAAACAATTAAGATTAATCTCATCAAAGAATAAAGATGATGTGGAGAGCTCCTAAAGAATTTTAATACTCTTACCCATAACAGCAATGGCTTGATTCAATTCATGAGGTTCTACTGTGCCACTTCGGTCTTGATCAATAGTCATGAAGTTTTGTTTCCAGGCATTAAGAGCCGTCCAAAGTTCTTTAAATTCATTAAATCCCATTTTTCCTGTGTAATCTCTCTGAGAGTTTTATTAACAAAAATACATTTTGAGAGCAAAGAGAATTTACCTGACCCAAAACTCCAAATCATTGACAAAAAAAAAAAGAAAGTTAGTATGCTTCTGTAAGAGTTAGCCAAATTCAGCATACAAACACATTTCTGTGAAAAAATGAAAAGTATGAATTTAAACAGGATCTTACAAAGTATTTTTAAATTCTAATTTACTGTTGTCATCTATAACCAATAACTGCCTTAATATTCAGGAAGTAATTATTCAATATTCCAGTATTTTCTGTTTATTGAAGGATACATCCAACATGGCAATCATAATTCTGCAGGTTTCCAAACTGAAGGCTATAAAACATATATCATTTGAATTAGAATCTGCTCAGTTTTATCTATATAAAATTACAATTTCTATTTTCAAAATAAAACATTTAAAAAATTGCCAAAAATACAAAATCAGCCCAATCAACCAATTTGGAAAGAAGAAACTGAGGCCCAGAAAGATAAAGTTTCTCAAGATCATAGAGCTAATAAATAGAAGAGTCAAGATTGGTGCCCAGCACTCCTTCATATAAAAACTTCTTGAGCAAGGAAGAGGAGACGGGTGAAGGTAACATAGAAACCTCTGGAATGGCATTCGATCATTTCCTAAGCAAATGACATCCGTCTTTCATGGCACACATTCATTAAAGGGGAAAATCTAAATAGGTGGTAATAAAGCGCAAAAATTGAGTCATCAAGTCAGCATATCTTCAGTCTCAAGATAGGATCAAGTATATAAAAGATTAAATACTTTTGACATACAATGAAGGGAGAATTTTCAGGAAAGTTGCCAGACTTTTGCTCTCACCCCACACCCCATTAGAATGGACAGTAAATTGATTTTTTTTTAAGTCATAAACCAAAAAGAGAATGAGAGAAGAAACAAAGGAACAAAATTTTGCAAGTTGGAAAAGTAGATTGACATGAGTTAACAAACCTAGATCTGAGAAAGTGGCTTCTTGAACTTGCAATAAGAAAAGCTGAGAAACAGTCTAGTTATCCTGGAGAAGACCCCAAAACTTTAAGAGTTGACAATACTTCTGTAAATGGGTGTGAAGGTAGGATAAAAACAGGACTGGCTGAATGTGTACTTAAGGACCATTTAGAGCCCCAAATCCTCTCCTTGCCCCAGCTCAGTGGATGGCTGCCATGTCTACTCCCACCCCTACATGTAGGTGTCTGGGAGTTTATTCCCTGGAGAGGTCTCTGGACTGCAGAATATCAGGCACAGGTGAAGACGGTGCTATCTACTAAAAACAAGGCAATTAAACGGCAATTTACGAAAGACTGAGAGCTCTGCTGAGTCCCCCCTCTTCCTTTCCAGGAAGATCAACTGGACAACCAGTCCAAAAGGAAGTCCCTTAGAGATATTAACACCCAGTGTTGCACAACAAACTGTCCTGCCTAACCACCAGACACCGAAAATCTACAGTCAACACCTAACCATAATCTCAGAGCTTCTAACAAGCATTTTTGTTAAATATGACAAACAAAGGATCACCAGACACCTGAGAAAAGCATCGAATACAAAGGACAACCAAACAAACTGGAAAAAAAAATCGGGAGGAAAACAAAAGTTATGTAGGAAGAAAGAAACTTTAAAACATATAGTAAGTCTCAGAGAGATGAGGGAAGACATTACTTTCATGAAAAAAAGAATAGAAGTTCTTGGATTTTAAAAACATGATAGCAGAAATGAAAGACTGAATAGAAGGTTTAGAAAATAAAGATAAGGAAATTTCCCTCAAAATATAGGAAAACAAGAAATAAGAGATAAAAGGTAATGATCCATTCTAAATAACAGGCATTCCAGATAGAGAAAGTGGAGAAAACATCACTAAAGAAAGTCTCCCAGAATTAAAGCAAATGAGTTCCCATACTAGGAATGCCCACTGAGATTCCCATATAACAGAACTAGGCACATCACTGTGAAATAGCAGACCAGGAACAAAGAAGATTTCACAAGTCTCAAGAGAGGAGAAACAAATCACATACAGGCAGGAAACAAAAAGTTAAAACAACAGTGGAAGCTAGAAACAATGGAGAAGTACCTTTAAAATTCTAAGAGAAAACGACCCATAAACTAGAGTTCTATACTTGGCCAATCACTTAATTCTGAGGATAGAATGAAAGCATTTGCAGATAAAGTCTCAAAAACTTTACCTCCCATGCATTCTTCTATTAAGAAGCTCATTAATGTTACATTTTATTGAATTAAAAAAGATGACAAGTGCTGAAATAAACGGGAGGTCCAATTCCAAAGAGAGGAAAGGCAGTTCCAGGGTGATGGTGAAGGAATGCCAGGATGATAGCTCTGCCTAGAAGGTACAGCTCAACAGAAAGCTCCAGGGTGATGATTAATTTCAAGAAAGAAAAAAGTTATATAAAATGGAATTAATCATACCTATCACAAGGCATAGGAGGAGCATGTACATAGTAACAATGAGGCAAATACTGCTTGCTGAGCTAACGAAAATTACTATACAGCTATACTGGAGGGATGGGAGGCTGAGAAGGGTTTCCTGTGTGGAGTGAAGGGACAAGGGTGAGTTTAAGGTTGAGGGTTAAATCTTCCTATTCCATAGCAGGACATCTACTGATAATCACTGAATCTGAAAATCAATAATGATAAAAAGCATGCTATTTTGTGATCCGAAGGCAAATTTCAAAAGAATCTGCTGAAAAAGTTGAAAGCGAGTTCCTGAGTGGTTAACACTGGGGAGACAGTAATGCACAATAAACAATTATTTTCATGACAAGCTTTGCAGAATTATTTGACTCTTTAAACTATGGGCATGTATATCTGTGATAAAATTTAAAATACATATATATTAAGTATGGGGACAAAACGTTAGAAAATGCATTTCCTAGTCCAATTACAACAGTGGGGAACAAAAGATCTCACGAGAGTAAGTCCCAGTAATTCCAGACTGTGTCAGACACTTCTGAAGTTCTTCTGCGTCCACTTCACCATCCTGTTAAAGATAATTATGACGTGATTTAATGTGCAGTTGTATAAAAGCATATTAAAATGCTAACTGGTTATTCTAGGCCAATCAATAAATATGCATTTTTGAAAACATTACTCTATCATCAACTACAAAATAACAGAGGTAATTATTGACAGCAAAGGCATATTACAGAGCACCATGCAATATGAATAAATTCTTCACAATCAAATTATATTATATTAATTTTTCAATCATTTCAAGTATAATTTATTTTTTTGACTTCTGGAAAATAGAAGAATCACTCTGTACTATAATAGCTCAAAATAATATCTTTTGAGAATCCCTGTACTTCTGCTTAAAATAGTTGGAAAAAGGACTAAAACGTGTTCAGAAAAGCCTCAAAAACTTTCCCTTCATGCCCATTTTGGGGGGGAAATTATTTCTAAAAGATACAGAAGGAGGCAGTATCTTTTTTATCCCACACCCCCAGCAAAATTTTAGAGTCCCGCTACATTTTGTTAATATTCTTATGATTATTGCCCAAACATTCTTGGTTTGAATTTATTATGGGAAATTTAAAAAAAAAGTTAATGCAATTAGGAAATCACAATGGAAGTGAAACAGGTTGAAGATCTTCATGTTTCAGTATCTCATCTTATTTTTTACAAAAAAAATACATATATACATATATATATATATATATACACACATATATATATATATATATATATATGAGTAACTTACTCGGAAGCACCAAATAAATTGTCACAAATGCAAAAAGCTCTGAGAAAGGATCAAGGAGGCAAATTTAAAACGTACTTTGTAAGAGACCCAATAAAGAAACAACAACAACAAAAAACTTTTACAAATTACTTCTAAGAACTATTATAAATATTCATATTCTGATCTTTAGCAAGGAATTCCACACAGCAAAAATTCCAGTGGTTCTAACAGAAATTTAAAAATAGTGATAAAATTTTTTTAAAAATATCTTAAGTATTGGGACGAAAATGAATTTCCTATTCCAATTTCTCCTTCAAATGTGGATTAAATTTTAAAAATCAAAAATCTAATATAATGAATGAAATTCTATTTTACAGGTGCTTTTTACAGAATGTTTGGAGTCAGAAAAATAACCTGAACAGCTTTGCTAAAAGCATTAATCATCAAAAAACATTCTCCTAGTACACTACTTCATACTCATATTTCATACATTTTATGAAAACATGTTATCATAATTGACTGACTAATAAGCAATACCTTATTAAACTATATGGAGAAAATCCAAGTGATTATTTTTGGATTTCTTTACCTGCAGTTTGAACTGATGATGATGATCAACTATATAAATTAGGTAGCATTAGTGATAGAAAACTGCATTTTCCAATTAAATAATAAGAGCTTTAAGTAGATCATTAATAAAACATCACTTGCCATTGGTTATGTTAACTGATAGGCAGCAAGATTTTGAAATGATATTCAAGTTCAAGTAAAGGTAATAAGGAATGTGTGCAGTTTGTTCAGTTACTCAGTCTTAATCTCCACTTATTCATCCAAAATAAAAGGGCACATCCATCCTGCCCACCTTACACAGCTGCTGTGTGGAAAAGGGGAAGCAGTGTACACACTAAAGTTAAAATTGTTGGTATTACTGAGTTGCATGTATGTATGTGTGCATGTGTGTATTTATAAAGGTACAAATCAGAATTTCCCTGAATCAACTGATGAGTGAATCATTACTGTTCGGTAAACATCATACTATAAAAAAGAATACCACGGAAACCTTTTAACTGGACATTTCTCATTGAGCATCATTAATCATGAGGCCTACTGAAAAAGAATACAGTTGCAGAGATGATTTCAGTAACTGTGTTGTAGGATCATAATGTGTAAGTCTGATATTACATTTGATCCTAAAGCTAGGCAAAAGTCAGCATGTAAAAGAATTATCTAAATATTTGGACTAAAAATTGAAAACAAGATAGTTTATGTATCCATCCAACACATTTACTGAATGACTAACATGTTTCCAGTGCCTTCTTGGTAATGGAGACTACGACAAGGAGTATAATTATTCAGATATACACAAGACTATGAAAAATTTAAGGAAAGTAACAAATAGTACAAACATAGAAAATCATTCTTGATAACTGTTACACTGAAATAGTTCAGAAATAAAAGTCTCTAAATACACATGTCCAGTTCCTATGTTTTAAGTTGTAATTTTATTATGTGGATTTACTATGTAGTCAGCTATAGATAACATATTTATTCCCAGTATTATACACCACGTAAAAGTTTCTTTCAGATAAGCATGGTATATAGTGTAACAGTTACAATTCCATTTAGTTGAAAACAATAGAAAATGCTATCAAAGGGGCTTTAAACCAGTAAAGGTTTATTGGGGCTAGGCAGAACAGGACTATATAGTAAACTAATGATGCCATCAATCTCTTTACATTTTTCCACTTTCCCTACTCATAGTCCTTTAATGGATGTTTGTTGCCTCAAGGTCACAAGATGGCTGCTGCACCTCCATACCTCCAGTCCCCTTTCTAGGCAGGAAGAATGAAAGAGCAAAAAGGGCCAATGCTAGTTTCCAGAAAGGCTTTCCTCATTTGGAAAAGGAAAGCATCCCAAATAAAGTGCACCTACATCTCAATGGCCAGTCCTATGACACATGGCTACTTTACTAGTTACAAAGGTGTCTGAGATAGTGAGTATAAGGCTTTACAACTTCTACCACAGGAGAAAAAAGGAAAGAAGGTTGTGAATGAAAATGGGGTAGCCAAAACAAAGTACCTGTCACATGTAATAATTCTGTGTATATCCTCTGTGTCTAGCAAAACATGTTAGACCTAGCGACACTTAGGTGAATGAATAATGAATGAAAAAATGTTATCAAAGTTTTATGAAATTCTAACTATTCAATAAATCTTTCTTGACCAGCATAAGAGACATTGACCAAGACTAACACTCAGGTGTGAACCTCTGTTTCTGCTTTTAGTCTGGTATTTCACCTCCATTTCGCCCTGTTTTCTTTACTTGCTCCTGACCTACTTTATCACCAAGCCTCTCCCAAAACCATCCACAATTTTTAAGCCCCCTTTTTGACACTCTGCCCCAGCTTCCTCAGGGGATTTACATGTAGCTCTCTTTTTCCAAATTCCCTTTGCTCAGTCTCCACACACCATCTTGTTTCTATGTTTGAGTTAAATGAGCAATGTGTCAGGCAACATGCTAACAGACTTTTTAAAACAAAATGACTGCCTTCATCTCTAATCTCAGGAAGAAAATTAGTCTAAAGAAGTTTAAAATACAAGTTACATATACACTTAAAAATGATATACTGAGTAAAAGAGTGGACATTATTTTTAAAAAATAGCTATCATTTTTAAAAATTGGCATTTGTGCATCTTACCTGTCCGGCAACAGCGGTGAAGTATGTCCACATGGGGTCTCCTGCCGAATAACTGTCCGGATAAGCTAGGTGTCTGGAGTATTCACCAGGGAACACATGTGGCCCTGGGCCCAGCACTGGCTGTCCCATTAGCATCCCTGGCATCTGACCCCTAAAACTTCCGAACTGGATGAATGAAAATGGAGAAAGTTATTAATACAAATGTTACCTATTACTTACCAAAGTTGGTTTAAAAGAAAATATTTATTAGCAGTCCATGGAAAAGCAAGAATACAGCTACCGAAAGCTTCCAAATTCATTATCACAAAAGCTGTTAGCTACAAAATGCCAGATGTCCTGCATTAGGACTTAATTCATTTCATTAGCATATGTTATCCAGCATTGAAAGAAGTATGAAAGAAAAAAGAAGTCTCTAGCCTCTAAGAACTTAATCTAACAGATGAATATGAGGCACAATTTTAAAAAGTATTTACCGGGGCCAGCCGAGTGGCTCAGTTAGTTAAGAACTCACTCAAGAGTGTGAGCTCTGAGCAACAGAGTTGCCGGTTCAATTCCCGGCCCGAGCTGAGCTGCCGCTGAGCCGCCAACAGGTGGCAGGATGACTAAGCTAAATAATAATAATAATAATAATAATAAATAAAATAAAGTGTTTACCAAGATCATCACTGAAATAAAGGAAAAGCAAAAAATATAAGAAAATCTCTTCTACAGGAAAACTAAGAAGCAGTATAACTCAAGACACATACTTAGAAAAATACATGATAAAATACAATGAAATTGTGAATAAATCAAGGGAAACTGCATAGGGCTAAAACACCCTCTCCACCAGAAAACATTTATTTTTTAAAAAAGCAAGACAACAATAAACAGGTTAATAAAGTGATAATTCCAACCATGGTCCTTTTCAAACCTAATAAGAATAACAACAACAAGAATACTGACACTGATAATATACAACTAATATTTACTGAGAGTTTTTTATATCCCAGGTACTACTATTCTAAGTACTTATATTTATTGTTATTTGATTTTCCAATAACTCTATGAGGTATAAAAGTACTATGTCCCTTTTGCAGTTCAGGACCTGAAACTTCAATAGGTTTCCTGAATGGGTTAAGGTCAAATAACTAGTAAGAAGTACACCATGATTCAAAAACAGACAGTCTGACTCTAGAGGCTACCTGTTGGTTTTTTCCTGCTATGGCTCTGATTTCTCTCTTGTTTTCACTTTGGAACTTGGTATGCATTTTTATTCTTAAAAAGGTATTTTACTCAGTATTTTTGAGTCTGGAGGAGGAAGAAGTAACAAGGTTTATTATTCCATTTTGAACAAAAATATTTTTCACTTGCATTTGTTTCTTTTATAAGTGTTGCCCTTTAAAATTCTTTTTTTTTAATTTTTCAGTTATAGTTGACATTCAATATGTTAGTTTCAGGTGTACAGCATAGTGGTGAGACATTTATGTAACTTACAAAGTGATTCCCCCAGTGAGTCTACTACCCCCGACTCAACACAGTTATTACACCATTATTGACTATATTCCCTATGCTATAGTTTACATCCCTGTGACTATTTTGTAACTGCCAATTTGTACTTTTCTTGCATTCTTTCAGGACGAACAAAGATTGCCAGCAGGCAAAAACAGAATAGAATTTAAGAACAGGGAGGAAAAAAGACAAAAGTTGGAGTCTTTTATAGTAGTCTGAAAAGTTGCAGTGTGAGATGTGGTTAAGAGCAAAAAATATGGAGGAAGTATTGGAGCTCCAGGAAATGTGCTCAAGGAGATGCTCAAAACCTAGGTTATGAAGTAATGAAGTGCAAGAAAGGAAACAGAAAACGTTAAAACAACAAAATGGATTAAAAAAAAATAGATGTTCATTGTTTAAAAGTTGCTCTCTGAAGAGACAGACCATGAAAGGACAGACCAATTACAAGAATAATAAAAAGAAGACTGCATTCCCATAGACACAGAGCACTGGTAAGGAAGTAGCCAATTCTTTGACTGAAAATTATTCTCACCACCGCACTCACTCTACCATATATATGACTTCAGAACATACAATCGGAGTAAAAATACCACATTTCTAACACCAAGCTTCACCCTAATGAAAATATGTAGAAAGTAGGTAAATATTAAAAGCCCCACCGGTTTATGCGACCTTAACTAATCTTTGAAGAAGTCTTTACCTTCCTTATGCACCTTAAACATTCTTAGTAAATTTAAGAATTGATGAGAGGTAGGCATAGTCAAGTAGAAGCAGCCAGGAGGAACTCAGGTAAGTTTTCAAGTAAATCAATTTTAGGAACAAGTTTGTGTAGAAGCTGAGGGTCTGGAAAGTCATTCCTTTAAAAAAAAAAATCCCCACAGACTCCCAGGGGTAGGAATAACTCGTTTGAAGACCACTGCCATATGACAGTGTTAAGTCCTATATTAAATATTAGTAAAGCTCAGTTTCTCTTTCTAGGTATAAACAAGTACAATTAAAACTGAAAATATATTCTTTTCCACCCACACCCCTATGGATTATCTCTCATGCCTATTTTGCGAACACGAAGTGTGCTCACCCCACTTTGGAGATCACTGACATACTCATAAATACTGACTGACAGACTCGTAAATACTGAAGGTCAGGCTTCTTTCTAAAAAAAAAAAAAAAAGCTAGCCACCAGGAAACTACAATTATAACTTCTCACTCTCAAAGGTGAAGCAGAGAGTTACGTAAGAAAAAGTAATCCTTCCCACCCTCCCCAAAGTTAAGAAAAGCAGATTGCCCTTGGCAGATAGTAAAAATTAGGAGGCATTTAACATATCTTAATTTATTCATAAGCAACTTAAAGGACAGAAAACAAGAAGTGGTCCAAAATTTCAGAAACAGGATGTCTAGCAAAACTGAATGGCGTGTATGGGGGTGGGGACGGGGCACAAAAGGTTACTGGAACAAGAAAAGGGTGTTTTCCTCCGTTCCAGGATAGAAATTTCTAAAAACACATCACACTATTGGATCCCGAGGACGCGCCTAAGGGGCCCTCAGGGACCAGAACACCTGCGACTCCCCTCTCAGTCAGGCGCTGGCTTCCAGCACCGCGCCGAGTGCAGATGCAAGCGAATACAAGGGCCGGTGAAAAAGCAGGGGCCGGAGGCGTACCGGGCACGTCGGCACCACCCGCAGGGGCGCCACACCCCGCGGGGGCGGAGGCTGCGATGAAGCGGCCAGTACTCACCCCTCCTCCGTATCCCGGGTAGGCCATGATGAGCCGAGCAAGCGTCACCCGTCACCCTTTGAATCTGCGTCCGCCCTGCTAGGTGAAACGCGCAGGTGCAGGAGCAGGTGTAGGGGCAGGTGAGGCTGAGACGTGCTGGCCGCGCGATTTACTTTCCTGAGACCGCCCTCTCCCAGAGGCCAGCCCCACCTGGCTTGGCTCCGATTGGCTGAATCCCATACTTAGTCCCACCCACCTCTTCTCTAAGAGGCTTCACATTCCCAGCCCCTTCCTGTTCAGCTCCTATTAGTCCGCTTAGGTCTTGTGTTGTCGCCTCAGGCAACCACGTGGCAAGGTTTCCCCGGGTTAATTCCACCCTCTTTGGAAAAACTCTCGAGGCGTAAGTTTCTTTTCTCCTTAGAAATTCCGTACTGGCCATGACCTCTTTTAACCTACTCCCCCACTTTTATTGAACTGGAATTTCAAATCTGTGAATTGCAAAACTTGCACTTACTCAAACTTATTTTGGTAGTAGTTAGTGTTAATGTCAGATAATCAAAATTCGAAACCTTTAACTCAGCCCCAACGGGAGTGCTTCTAAGCTAAAACCCACTTGGATGCCGATTTTTACCAAAATATTATTTGTAGCCTGGTAGATAAACGGTAACTAGAGTTGCCAGTTTTAGCAAATAAAAATACACGATTTCCAGTTTCAAATAAACAATTATTTTTATAATATAAGTATGTCTCAAATATTGCACAAGACATGCATTTATACTAAAAGTTATCCACTGTTTATACGCTGATAATATGCAAGGCACCCTGTATATTATCCTGTGTATTATCTGGCAACCCTACCAATGACTTAACCTTTGGGTGCACTCTTAAGGTGTGTCTCCTAATTATATTCACTGAGAGGAACAGGAATTTGTCACTCAGCAAAAAGTGAAATGCTCAATTATTTGATTTATTAAGTAATAGTAGTTGACAGTTATGCTTTTTTCTGGAACTCAAATGAATTTTGTAGCTCCAGCTTTAAAAGAACAGGATACACACACATATGCACACGGCAGGACAGTTGTAGCTTTAGCTTAGAAACAAGCAAAAAGACCAGAATGATATTATTTTGAGTTATCTTTGAAGAATAAGACAACCACTAAAAAGTATCTTTAAAATAAGGATGTGGGGAAAAAAAAGTGTTGATTCACAGAGGAAATAAACCTTGCAGAGCTGAGTAACTATTGCTTAGGTACTCTACAGAGGAGGAACATGTTGAACCTTGTGAAACCTAATTTTATCAGAAAGAGGCAGAGAGTAATGAAGATTGCTAAGGTACAAGCCACTCTTGAGAAAGTGTGTGTTAGTTCCTCTAACGCAATAAAAAATACTTTAGCCAATAAGGTTTATTATTGGCCTAAATAAATAAATGGAGGGGGATGGTAAAATCTATTTGATAAAAGGAAAAATATGATTCATTAATTCATCAAGTGATAAAGCATTACAAGCAAAACAAATTGTTGCAATTTTTTATTCTAATTGTTTAACTCTATATTCAAAGAAATGCTCAGAGGGTTCTAAATTTACAATGTTAGCCTAAACCTCTGGTCAGGATTTTTGTGCACCTGCTTTTCATCATCATAACCTTATTGTATTGTATTTATGTAAGTTGGGAGTCAGGTCTCCATGGCTCTGTTGCATTTTTACAAAAATAGTTTCAAAAACAGGGATAGTATTTCCTTCAAGGGCAGAGAAAAGATTTGTTGCAGGATAGCAAAGATCATCTCTACTTCCAGGTTAAAGTTTGGGTAGGTTTGCTAGTAGGATTTTCCTAAGCTTGTATTTCCTTCATTCTGATACAAACCCACTGCTTGTGCAGCACCCGCATAGCAGCTCCATTTTGCCTTTTGGGACTTGGGAGCAGAAGGAATCTAAAAGATTATGAAATTCATGCTGCCTGTTGTACTTTGCGTAATAAAGTCCTCTGTAAAGAGGAAATTTCATGCCTTCTGTCAATTTCTATGAAACTGTGGCAGCTACTTATCAACTTGCACGGAGTATAAAATATCAGATCCTTCATAGTTCTTGGCAGTGTATCTCTTTCTTAGAGAAAGAGCTACCCAGGGATGTTCCTACTGAAGAGTAGCAGAATATGCCACCCCAAAATATGCCACTTTGACATAAGGATTATTTTGAACTGAAGGCAATTGAGAAGAAATAAGAAAAGCTCTCTGGTCTCTATTTGCCTGAAAGTGAGACATAAATTTAGTGTTCCTCTTCATACTCTGAGAAAACATTAGAACCTTATCAATGGACTTAAATCTGCATAACAAATCTTACACTTATTTATCCTCCCTTTCCTGGTAACCTTCCCATAGCTACTCTCCCACACACCTTTCTTTTGTCTTTAACTGAAGACAGATTTTAAACTGAAGTTCTAAGCCACCTCTGAGAGTTACTCATTTTCCCCTGGGTATCTCCCATGTATATATGAGGATACATGTGAATAAACTTCTGAGATTTTTTTTACTTGTTAATCTGTTTTTTAAAAATTACAGAGATCTCGGCCCAGAACTCAGAAGGGTAAAGGGAAAATTATTTTACCCCCTCATACACTACCATCTGAGATACAGAGAGGACTTTCAACACTACAGTCATCAGTATCTTTCTCTCTCTAAACCTAGTATTTCAAATAATAAATTTTCTAGTATAGGAATTTAAACTTCAAATGAGTGTATAAAGAACTTTTTTTAAATAATGGTAATGAAAATGTGCTTCCATGATTCAGCTAGTATTGTATGAACAATATCATTTTATGATAATGTAATGTATAAAAACAATTTTAAAGTATACGTTTTTCTTTTCAGAAAATACTCCGTTAGTATATAAAAATAACTATAAAGTGAATACTATGTAACAGGAACTGTTGTAAGTTATTATTCCTCAAAATAACTCCATCTGGTATACTATCTCCATTTTATAAATGCAAAAAGTAAGGTCAAGAGTTGTGTATCACTTACCTATAGTTATATATTTAATAGCAAAGCTGAGATCAGAACCCAGGAAGTTTGACTGCAGAATGCGGTCTCTTACAATGCATTTCCCCTTCCATCCCTGCCCAACCATAGTTTTCAAAATATAATAAAAATTATTTACACTGTAAGAGGGAAGGGTGGTCTAAGGAGTAAAAAGTGGCATACCAATGCCTAGATAAATAGACAAGAAATGCATTGTCTTGACTAAGATTAGCAAAACTAATTACTTCTCTTACACAGGGTACATGCTTTCTGGTTACTATAAAGCTTTCATGATTATGTCTACTGAGGATATTTCTTCCAAACCTTGATGGTCTTTCCATAAGTTTAAATATTCAATTAACCAGTACATTTATCAGTGTTTGCTGAAGTAACTATGGTTCCCTTTCCTATCAGTTGCCACCTCTTTTTCTCTTTCCCTCTATATGAAATTTCTCTCTCCTCTTTACAGGTGGGGAAACAGGGACAAGAGATGAGAGTAAAAATGTCCTGCTCCTCAGCAAACTTCAGTGCCAGAGCCAGAGCCAGAGCCTACCTCTTGCATAGAAATCATTTATATGCCAAATATCATAATAAGACATACCAGCTAATGAAAAACAACATCAATGGAGCGTATGTTGTATCACTAAGAAATGTCATTTAGAGAAACCCATTTATTCAACAAATATTTATTAAACATCTGCAATGTACCACCAGAATAGTGGGGGGGAAAATCCACCAATGAGGGTGGAGAGGATTGTCCTTGTCTTGGTGGAGCTTATATTCTAGCAGGAAGAACAGAACATAAAAAGTAAAGATAATAAGTAAATGATACAGTGTGTTAGAAGATGATAAATGGTACGGAACAAAAGGGAAATGAAAGCAGGGGTAGGGATAGGGAAGTAACAGAATCGGTTTCAATGTTAAATGGGATGCTCAAAGTAGCCTCGTTAAGCAGGTGAGGTTTGAGCAAAGACTGTAAGGACACGAACAAGTTAGATGTGTAATCTTAGACCTGTGGGAAGACTATTCCAGGAAGAATTACAGATATAGTTCTAAAGCAGAAGGCTGCTGACCTGTTTGAAGAACGGCAACGAGGCCAGTGAATGTGGCGTGGATTGAGCCAGAGGGAAAGATGTAAGAGGGGTTACAGCACAGGGTCGTTGGGACAGATCACGGAGGGCCTTGCTAGGTCGTTGGAACGACCTTTATACTTTGGATGAGACAAGAAGCCATTTGGCGCCTTAGTGGGACATGATATGACTTAGTTTTGAAAGGATCACTCTTTCAGTTCTGTTGACAATAGACTGAAGAGAGTTAATAGAGATCCGTTAGCTATCTGATGGTAATTTAGAGATGTGGTGACGTATCAAGGTATAGCAGTTGAGATGGTGAGAAGTGGTGAGGTTATTTTCTATTTTTAAGGTATAGCCATCAAAGTTTACTGATGTTTTGGATTTTCCCTTTAATAACATGGTGACAAAAGTTCTCTCCTTGACCAAACATGGATCTAGCCAGGTTCTTCTGAACGCTCTTCTTGGCCTGGCCTGTAAAGACTTGAACAAACACTAGCATAGTTTCTGCATCTGTAGGAGAATCCTAGCTCCCTTAAAACACTTATCTGACAAAACTCAAGGCTGCCAAAAGAATTTACCATATTTCCCCATGTATAAGACGCATCCTTTTTCGAAAAATGTGGGGTCTAAAAACTGGGTGCGTCTTATACAGTGGTTGTAGATTTCAAATGCCATAGATGGAACTGAGGACGAGGCAATATATGAAGAGAGTGATTTTTCATCAGACACAAATGAGGACAAGCTAATGGTTGGGAGTTTTGACAGTGATGAGGAGTTGTACGAATTTTATGATGAATAAAACTTTAGTTCAATAACTTTATGTAATACATTTTTTTTTCAAATTTTGGGCCCCAAAATTAAGGTGTGTCTTATACATGGGAGTATCTTATACATGGGGAAATACAGTACTGTTCGTTCCAGCCAACACCTGAAGATAGGGCCCTGTAGCCCAGTTTTCGTGAGCGAGTAGGAGCCTAACTTTGAAGAGCGCCAGTTAGCATACCCAGATGGGTTTCAGGTGCACTAAGCACCTCTTCCTGCTTTTTGTAATTTTTCACTTCCCTGATTCTACAGAGCCCCCACTCACCACCCCTTCTCAATT